TGAGACCTCTCCCTCCCTGCCAGATCTGATATGTGGATTTGAATGTTACGAGGGACAGAGACAGACATGCACAGAACGTGGTTGCAAAAACCTCGTGTTTCTGTGGAAAATCGAACTAGCAACATATTTTTGCATGCCTTTCTTCCTTAGTATTTAGCATCTACCTGAGTCACAGCTTCACATTTCACAACTTTTTTTTTTTTCTATTTCTGGTTAGTTTGCTTGCTTGTTTGTGCAGTGACTGAGACTTTTCTTTTGAATTATCTCACGTCTCCAGAAGCTGGAGTTTTAAGATAAAGATCATGAAGTAATGACAGTCAGCAACACCATGCTAATGAAAAACCATGGGTATGTCTTTGAGGGTAACCGGTACTTCGAGATGTTTTGTTCATGAGGAGCTTGCTTAGGATGCGTGTCTGGCATGCCGGAGATGCAAGCACACGAGAAGTGGGACTCTCCCAGGCAAAAGCTGGGAGAAGTGCATGATAATGTTTAACTGCCCGTCCTTGAGCCTGGATAATTTCACTCCTGGAATGCCTGTCCAGCTGTGGTGCAGGGAAGGGGCTGCTGTAATCCCCAAAGGTCTGGTCCTGTTTGGGTGACTGCCTGTACCCAAGAGTGTCTGGCAGGAGAAGGGCATTTGGTGAATCCCTGCTGGCTCCTGAGAGCATCTCTGTACAAACACAAGAGTTCTGCATTTGTCTACCTGGGCACCCCTGACTTGTCCCTCTGGTTATAGAAAACTACATGTGTATAGAAAAATCTCCTGTTAGTTAGCAGATAAGATAATTTCAGAGCCCTAGTCCAAGTAACATCAATCTCAGTCACCCGGTGAGGAATGGCCACACCTGGATTACCTGATTTTTGGTCTTTTGTTCTTTTTCTGGCCCTCATCTATGCTAGCCTGTCTGTCTGAGCCCAGGGGCTGTCTGGACCTGGCCGTTGAGCTGTTGCTGAAGAGCTGCTCGCTGGAGCCAGGAGGGCTGCAAATAAACTGCTTGTGTCCCAGCGAGCCAGCATTAAACTGTCTTGTAGGAGCAGACTTCTACGAGACATTTCCTTCAACAGGCTTTGCTCCTCTCTGGGCTCGTGATGCCAAGATAGCTGCTGCCCACAGCGGTGGGTCCAGACTAGCAGATGACTGCATCATCCCCGCTCTCCTTTCTCTCCACAGATCTAGTGAGCAGCTATTCTATGACCCCCCCTACTCTTAGCATCATTGAGGAGGAACACGTCATCAACGCCAAGGATACGCTGACCATCACCTGCAGGTAAGGCATAAGCAAGCATGGCTCTGCCTAGACTGCTTTTACCTGGTAAGTGTTGGAGGAGCATGCAAGGAGTGCCTGCCAGGGATGCCTTGGCTGCAGTACACCTGCAACTTAGCACAGTCGACTAGAAATTTTCCACATTCACTAAATGAGAATTCATCTAATTAATTAATTGAAAAAAGAAGGTAAAGACATCTCAGGAGATGGTGATAACCTCTGCTGTAGTTTTGCAGGCAGAAGGAAGATAAAGAAACATTTGCATGATCTGATAGCTTCCTTGTGAGCTCTTTAAGGAAACTGTCCTTCCTAACTCTCCTTGTCTTTCTCTGATGTTGCTTTTTCTCACCTCATCAGTGGCTGCTAGGGTTGTAGTTATGGTTTCTAAATCTGGCAGGTCATTTTTGGGGGATGTTGAGAAATATCCATGGGAGAAAGCAAAGACTGTACTTAGTGGTGGCTGTGAGAGGCTTCCAACTTTTCTAGGAAGCTGGGATTTAATGCTCTGCCTTGTACACATGGGGGTGAAGAGAAGCCCTGGCCAGACCAGGTGAATAACTCTGTGAGAGGAGCTGGGGAATCTCTGGTTGTTTTGGAGACTGTGGCTCTGAGAAGGTGATGTGCCTGAACTGGTTTATCCCATGCTGGGACACTTGGCTGTACATATTTTCAGCGCTACCTCCTATCTTGGAAACAAAAACAAACAAACAAACAAAACACAAACAAACAAAAAACCCCAAGTGGGACAATTGACCAAGGTCAGTTTTCTTGACAAAGCTGGAGTTTCCCTTCAGCAGCTGAAAGCAGATCCATGCTTGCGATCTGAGTGCTAGGGCCCAGTAGGCGTATAAATTCAGCGTGGGCCTCAAATGGGTGTTTCTCAGTGTTATATATAACTATGGAGCAATTACTGCAAACACTTGGCTGGCATTGTGTTCATGTCTTGTCACAAACATATTTAACTTTTTCTGGAACAGATGGCATTGCTTTTACTTTGTGAATCAGTTCATAGCCAGGGGAGAGAGACAGAGGAAAGGTTGTTGATGGCCGTACTGAACTGATTTCACTTGATCTGGGAAGCTAAGCGGTTGTGGGCTTGTTGATATAGTGACCTGAGGAGCCATGGGGTGTACTAGATTGTAGGAAATGTGTGAGTTGAAGGACTGTGGTCAACCATATAGCTGCTGTAGGGCGCACAGAGGAAGAGGAGGGGGTCTGGGGACTCCAGTGTTCGGCCATGGTAGTTCTCTCTACAGAGAGATGTGGGAGCTGACACTCTCTGGTAAAACCTTTGAAGACGGGAGATTCAGTGAGATCATTCTGAATGAGTTTATAATCAGGCCAGACCCTTTCTCAGCAGTGGCCCAGGGAGGGACACAGAAAGTGGTTTCAAGACTGTGTTGCTTGCAGATTGAGCCAAGGCTAAAGGACATACTGAAGTTAGAGGTGTGGTTAAAGAAAGTGTCTTCTGCAGTCAAGCATGAACATACATGCTTAGCACCACGAAAGAGAAAGCCTTTCTTTTTGGCTAACCCTCCTGGACTGTGGACAAGATGCCCTTTCCTTGTGCCCTTGTTAGGTATTGATTAATATGAAGGAAAATCACATGAAGTGGAAAAAGAAACATCTTGTTTCCAGCGCAGACTCTGAATAGCCTGCCCTTGCAGGGAGCATCATACAAGCTACAGAGTCTCTCCAAGTGGCAAAAAACTCCCTGTTCCCTGCTGTAGTGCCAAGGCTCATCTTTCAGGCTCACTAGGCAGCATCCGTACAGGGCGCTGGCATGGGCACAGCTGAGATAAGGAACATCCCTGCCCCCGGCTCCCAGGTGCTGTGCAGGGCTGAACTGGCCAGCCAAAGGGCAGATGGGCCATCTGTAAACCATACTAAAACCAATGTACCCTTGGCCCATGTCGCTCCTGGCTGCCCCCTGCCTCTGCATCCTGTAGTCCCAGACGTGCTCCTCGGGGGCTGTGCAGTGTCCTTTGCTCCACCGTCAGGTAGATAAGTCTCAGCATCTCCTGCATGGATTAGAGGTTCCCCTTCTCCCTCTGAGCTCTCAAGCCTGTGTTCGTCTAATGTCTTGAGGAGAGGATTTTGACTGTGGGACACTGTTACTTCATTTGAATGAAAAGTAAATCTTTCCTGGTCCCTGGATCTCTAATTACACCCAGCTGCTTCTCCAACCTCTTCTCTGGACCATGGCCCACCCTGGGAAGACCTGGCTTGTGTTAATGGGAGCTGAAGGGAAAAACATGCAGACCACCAAGAGAACAGGCAAAGGAGAGGGTGGTGGGGCAGGGTAGGGCAGAAACAAATACAAAATCAAATCCAGGATCCAGGGATGTCCTGCTGAGCATCGTGTTGGAGGTGGCTTCAGTTTGACCTTGGTCATCCCCTGAGAACAATGTCCTCTGGCTGCTCTTAGAGCTGCCCTGGAGCCAGGAGTATGGGCCTGCTTGAAGCAGTGCTGCAGCACAAAACTGAGCTCAAAACCCCCCGTGTGAGACTCCCTGGAGACCTTTCAAGCTTCACCCACTGAGCGTGAGAGTCCTGCAGCCAACTGCACTCTCAGGCTCCCTTGCAGCAGCCTAGATCTCACACACCCACAGCTCTGCAGACCCCCTCCTGCTCCGCAGCCCACCTAGCCTCATCGGTGACCAGAGTCTGTGCCAGGCCATGGGGTAAGCGATGCCTCTGGAGCTGGGCGTCCTTAACAGAGACCCAAAGACACAGCACACCCGCGGGGAGCCAGCAAATGCTGGGGCTCTGCTTTTGCAAATGGTGTCACATACAGACATGTTCCCTTGTCACCCAGCACAATGCACTCTTGAGAGGTCCAGACAGAGCAGGGGACCAGTGTAGGAGCATGCCCCAAAATACAGATCATGCCAGGGCTGGCTGAGAGCCCCAGTGATGTTTTGATCTAAGCATGTGGCAAGGCATGGTAAAGTGGCTGATGCCCACATGGACAGTGCGTCTTTTATTAACTCCCATCCTGAGAGGGAAGGAAAGAATATTGTGAATCTCTGCATTCATGCCCTCGGCAGCCTGTGCTGGGGGAAAGCGAAGACCTTGTGCTGTTCCGGCTCATGAATATTGGAGCAGAGCCCACTGGAGCTGGCTGCACAGCAGCAGAAACCTCCAGAGGGATCAACTTGGTCCTGGCTGTGGCCAGCCCAGCCCCAGCCATCCCATCCCATCCCATCCTGCAGCTGCTGGGCACTCAGGTGGAGAGGGAGCGTCACCCAGCCGTGGTATTTAGAAAAAGAAGAGCAGGGTTGCCCTTTGCCGCCCAGTGACTTGTTAAGAGAGCTGACTCACAGGTACTTGCAGATGCACAAGCCCCACTCTGGCAGAGAGGAAGTATTTGACCCCGGAGCCCTCTTGGCTCCTGTGGAGGAAATGAGCGCTGTGGCAGGGCTGAAGAAGCCTGAGGATAAGGCAGTGCCCCACGATGACTGCTCCGGAGCAGTGTGCGGACACACACACAACACCTGCTGGTCTTTCCTACACGTGCGTGACTGCTGTGAACATCTCTGCGGTGCTGAGAGGGGATCTGTCTTATCCCAGCTAAGCCACAAAGCCACAGCCAGCTTTGCCCGTCATACCACGCTTGGGAGCTTCAAAAGAGGATTGAAGAAAAGTGGTGCCAATTGCAACGTCTCCCTTGAAGAGCATCTGTCCTGAAAAGATTTAGGAAAACAGCTGTGGAGAAGCCTACAGTGCATCTGTTTCCAGCTGGCATCAGCAGGCTCCATCGCCCAGAGGCACATTATCACAGAGCTGAAAGGAAACAACTTGGGAACAAATCTTCAAAGGTGACAGATAGGAGGGAGGGAACCATCCAAAACTGCTGCCTGGACCTTTCCCCAAATGCAGAGGATAGATTCAGAAAGAAATCCAAGTGAGCCTGGCCTGCCCTCATCCCTGCCTTCTTCTGGTCCTCTTAACACACCAGCTACGCTAACTTGGACTCAGTGCTATTGCCTACACCTTCTGTGTCCCCACCGAATCAGGTCAAGCAGGACATGATGCAAGGAATGCCTTAGTTTAGAGCTGCCCGTGGGCTGGTCAGCAGGTCTATTTGTACTGGCCCATCCATGTTTATATAAATACGTGTCACTCAGCTACTGCTAGCCTTGTTGGTTAATAAAACAAGTGAATCTGATAATGCGTGAAAATCCCAGTGGGTAAACAAACAGAAAGCGGAAACGCTGGAGACTTGTACAATTACCCTGCTCCGCGTGGAGCTCCAAAAATGCCTGAGCAAACGCAAAGGGCTTTGGGGCTCCTTCGCGCAGCCAGCATCTGAAGCTCTCGGCTCTGGGTTGAGAGTGGGGACAGCCCCACGGCCTGAGCCCGGTGCAGCGGGGCCATGGGCGCAGCAGCAATGGACATGGCAGAGGCCACTGAGTGTTACTGGTTTGGTGATCAGATTTACTATTATGATTTACTATTATTTTCCCTGTGCATGCGTAAGATGGACAAAACTCAAAATTCAAGAGTCTTATTATTCATGAGACTCTGATACTCTGGAAGAGCCTGCCCGTGATTCATGGACACAAGCAACTGGAGCTGTACTTCCAGTCCTGCCTCAGGCATCGATGGCATTTTTAGTGAATGCAGAGGTTTGAGCTGGGTCAGAGGGGCTGCGTGGCTGTCCCCAAGGGCACGTCACTGCCTCTACAGCCCTTGTGCCTGGTGACACGGTGAGAGTGCAGCACACTGTCTCTGAACTCATCTGCAGCGAGCTAGGCAGCGGGAGCTGGAAGAGAGCAAAGTCTGCAGGAAGATAAATCAGCTGCTGAAGACAAACACACAGGGGCAGGTCTTTCCCCCACACTTGGACAGAAATCCTGTCCTCATTGCGTCTGAGCCATTGTGCCCTCCAATGGCACCTTATCTCGCTTCCTCCTCACTGTCCCTTGCTGTCTGGATCCAGCTATTGGTGACAGTCACGATCTGGCTGCGCTTAAAAGCATCTGCCCGCAGAGCTACCCTGGCAGGGCCCTGGCAGAGAAGCTGCGTGTGCCAACATGCCTATTCCCAACTTGCATAATAGATGAACCCAGTTTCCCCTGCTAGAGCAAATGGTGGTGACAAAAGGCCATTTTTACCCCCACAGCTGGCTCTTGCAATGTCTTCTTTTTTCCCATTTCTTTTTTTTTTGCACATTCTTAAGTGACTTTCAGCTACACTGGCAAACTTTCAAGTGGGGACTAGGCCTTCCTCTGAAAGGGGCTCTGATTTCACAGAAGGAAACTTCCAGCATGCAATAAAAGCTTGTTTTGTTTGTAGTAAACAAGTGCAGTTATAGCAAGCTATGGTGGCGTGCGCGCCTGTGTACATGTGCATACGCAAAGCCTCCTGCTCTGGAGGTCCTCAGCTATATATAAATACACACGTGCACGCTCTGTCTGGGGGTTTCTTGCAGTTCCTGGACTTTTCCGTTTGTCTTTGGGCCACTGGTGAACAGGCTCAGTGGCTGTGCACTTGGAGAGGTGTCTGTAGCTCAGTGTCCCTGCAGAGGTGGGAAGGGGCAGCAGCAGCCCCAGGCCAGCCAGGGGAGCGTGCCAGGGGGTTGAAGGGGCTGCAGGGTGCTGTGCAGAGCAGGGGAATCCCCTCCCACAGCAGCAAGGAAGGAAACAGCTGGCAGCTGGACAGAAGGCAGTCAGCTGAGCCTCTCCTTGTTTTCTCCTTGCTGTCTTTTATCCCTGACTCCCTCCTGCTTTTCTCTTCCTCGTTTTCTTTCCAGTCTGCTCTCCTTCCCTCATTCTGCTTCCCGCTCCATTCATCACACCACGAGCCCTAGCCAGCAGCTACACTGAGCCAAGGGAACTCATCACATCCGTGTGTTTTCTTAATAGCTCTGGACCCTTTTAATAATGAGAGGGAATAGAGAAGAAATGGAGCCTTTCCCTCAGGGCCCTATGTGTCTCCCTGTCTTGGCATCAATACCAATAGGATAAAGTTGTGGGAGGGGGAGACCTGCTTGTGAGTGAGCTGATGTCTTACAGCTTAGCATGGCCAGAGAGGTGGCCTGGGGAAGAGGACGAGCCTCTGCTTGCCCAGTGATTAGTGAAGCTACTTGTCATTTCCTCGCGCCTGTTTTTCTCCTTGGACGATGGCCGTTCCTCCATGCCGCAGCCTGGGAGCGGCGGCTGGCTGGGCCACGTGCAGATGGGCGCAGAGTCACACAGGGCAGTTAAATCCCCACCGTGTTCACCCTGCTCAGTCCAAAGCTAACTCTCCTCTTTGCCCATGTCTAGGGGCCAGCACCCCTTGGAGTGGTCGTGGCCTGGGGGCAAGGTGGACCCTGCTGGGAAGGAGAAGGAAACCGAGTTGGTGGCCTCAGCAGCCCCCAGCAGCGGCTGGGCAATCCGAGAAGAAGACTGCGAGGGGACCGGCACAAAGCCATACTGCAAAGTCCTGGTGCTGACAGAGACGCAGGCAAACGACACAGGTTACTACCGCTGCTACTACAAGTACATCGATGCCAAAATCGAGGGCACCACGGCAGTCAGCACCTACGTGTTCGTGAGAGGTAAGAGCCATCCGGCAGCGTGCACCTTCGGGCTGGGGGAGCTCAGGGGCAGCCTGTGCACCAGCATAATATCAGGAAGATTAAAAAGCCTGACATGCCCCTGTCCCCAGCCTCCCAGGGCAAAGTGTGGCTGCTGCAGGCTCAAGGAGGAGGCCAAGGGCTGGCTCCTGCACTTGGATAAAACCAATATCCGTCCATTTCTGGGGGATGGCAGCAGCGCCTGGGATTCAATTACGTCCAGGCCCGGAGGCATCGCTCCAGCCGGGCTGGAATGCAGGAATTTAAGGAGTGAGAGCCGGGCCTCAGAGACTCTCCACCACTAAAAAAAGCACAAGAGTTAGCTTCTGGGCAGCTGGGGGCTCTCCGAGATGCTAGCAGCTAGGGATGACAATGTTCCATGAAGCTGAGACTGAGAGAGGGAGAGGAGTGGTACAAACCCGCCATGTGCAGCCTCCTCCTGTCCCTGGGCTTGATGGCCCTGCAGCCGCTCCATGGTGGCACACTCAGTTGCTCCTCTCCACACTGCGCAGGGGCTGCCCATGCAGGCAGGGTTCTGACACATGTTTTGGAGGAGGAGGGCTGTCCACCGGGTTTGGAGTTGGAACCTCAGCTCAGCAAGTGGCTGTGGGGCCAATACTCAGCTTCCTCATGCCCAAGGGGCTCCTCCGCCATCTCCCCCACTGCTCGCAGCACGCTCCAGCAAGACAAACGAGCGCTGTCCCCTGGAAACAGTTGGCTGAGCTATTTCTCTTTCCGCCTCCGTTTATTAGTTGGTGCAGTTGTTACGAACCAGGCAGGTCATGACACACAAGATGCATTTTTCAGAAGTCCCAGGGCAAAGCCAAATTTGCCTCTGCAACTATGCAGAGAAAAATGCAGGGGGAAATCAGAAAGGCTGGGCAGCTGCTGGAGAGGAATTGGGCAATTGCCTGCTCTTCCCGTGGGCCCTGCTGCCCATCCTAAAGCAGGACAGAGCTTCCCTGGATCTCAGATATGTTGTAAGGACGTGTCTGTGAGTTAGACAGGGTTGTTCAGACACTCTAGAGTGTTGTATCAGGCTGGAGGCAGAGAGCTTCTTACACACACTGAAAATAAGTACAACCTAACAAGCTTGTGTGCAGGGAGTGATTTTGCAAAAGCCTGATTTTCTTTGTGATCCAGCGCATGCCACTTTGTCCCCTTGTCCACCTTCTCTCACCTCTAGCCTCATCTGCAGCTCAGTAGTGGCTCTCCTCTTTACCAGAGAGCAGCAAGCGTGCATGTGTGATGTAGGTTAGGGGCAATAAATCCCACACTATCAGGGCCCATGGGACTCACCGTGCCTGGGGACAGCGTGTGTGCAACAGATCCAGCCGACACCTCGCAGCGTCGCTGTGTGCATGGCTACACAGCACATGTTCGTACTCATTCCGATCAGGCTGTGCGCTGGTATGGCTATCAAGCATCCAGGAAACCTCAGAATCCCCCTTTCCAGACAGGACAGGCTTTCAAGCAGGAGAAGGGACACGTCAGGAAAACCCAGGCATACCGTAACCGTAGCCATTGCAGAACATCCAGATAAAGCCC